CAAGATTATGGATTCATAGTGCTCTTGTTTTCTTGAAAACATCAAAATTAAGTGAGTTTTAACTTAAGTTTAAAAAAAAAATCTGCTAATGGGGTAAGAAAAATAAACTTAATTCAAGGGGAAAATATGTTTATTTTGTACCCCTTGGTTTTGAACATAAATTCACTTAATAATTTATTTATTTATTTGTTTGTTTTTCTGAAAACAAGACTATCTTAAGTCATTTTGCTTCTCAAGTAACTGTTTCTTGATTTAAGGATGGATAGATATTTGTTCTGGAATTAGTAAGAAACCTACTTTTTGTAGTTTTTTATGTGAAGAATTTATAATGAATTCAGTTCTCATAATTTAAATAACCCATACATTGTCTGTACAACCTGCATTGTAAAAAAAAAAAAAAAACATGTTGAGAAAACTCAAAAATCTGCTGAAGCTGGTTGCCTTAAACTTTTAAGTTTTCTCAGCTTTTTATTTTTTACAGTGTGACCCAGTGTACTGTAAGCTTGTGACACTAAAACACATTCCTTGTAAGTGCAAACATATTTGGCAATACAGCTCTTTTTGACTTCTGACTGTGTATATGTGCAACTAGGCACGTCTCCTTATTTCATAACATAGCATTACCAGCAATAGTTTCATTATGCCTATTTTTCACTGCAGCAGTCTTGATTTCAAGTCCTGTATTTGTCCACCCACACATTTGGGAGGTTAGATGTTTTAGCTCATAACTAGGAAGAGTTCATAAGGTCAGAAATCCCTGGAGATGTGTATAAAGTGAGTGTTTTTAAAAACCGTGTGACCATCTGTTACAAGCCAGCCATAGAATGTGTTGCCAGATTTGATAGCCATTCGGTCCTCTGTTATCAGACTGAGGTCCAACGAATGTGGCTCAATTGTTCACAAACATCATAGGACACGAAATTAAGCCTCTTGCATGAAATACACAAGCCCACTTTTTGTTGATCCAGTCAGTTATTCATATATTTTTATTTATATCAGTAGTTTCTTCTCCATGGCAATACATATTAATTGATCAAACTACTAAAATGGAACATATAGGACTTTTTGGAAATTTATATTTTTGTTCTAGATGGTTTACCTGCTGAAAAAAAAATGCAATTTATTTCCTAAAAAGTGTTCCTAAAAATAAACACACAGTCATGAATATCTTCTTTGGTGATGAATGAAGTTGTCTCATAAATAATTATAGAAAAAAACAATACTAAGCCAAATAGAAAAGAAAAAAGCCTCTTTGAACTTTGTGTCCAAGGCATGGAAAAATAAGACATTAGCCCATGAGTGATTGTGAATATGGCAGATATATTCTCTGATTACTGTCCTGCAGACAAAGTTTGAGACAGATAATTGAATGAGATCATATTTTAGTCACTCTCACTCCAGCTTCAGATCACTCAAGTGCTTGATGGACAGTTTGGTGATTTCATGATGCATCATTGACTTGTGTTGTGGTTCTATAGCTTTAACAGGAAAGTAATGAAGCTGAACAGTTATTCTTATGAATGAACTTTGCTAGGAATATTTCCAGGAATCTTAAGAGACTCTGAAGTAAAGTACATAATTAAGTATAAGTATGCAGTGTCTTTTTTTAACCACAGTGCATTGCACAAATGACTCAAGCAAAAGATGCATTTCCATTTATCTGATTCATAAAGGATTTTTTAAAGGCGGTGATACGTTTCCTGAAGAATAATGAGCTTATTTGTGTACGTGTGTAATTATCATCAGATACGTTCATTGCACTGTTTCACTGAATGAAGAAGTGGAGATAGATTTTGAAGTGTGTCTTTTACTACCAAATGAAAGGGAAGACAGGAAAAAAATAAATAACTATGCACGCATGAAGATACAACGTTTATGCAAATGCAATCTGCTGCATTCATGTTTGTATCTTGTATGCTGCAAAAATATGGCCTGCCTGCCAGACACTAACAGCTTTCAGATAGGATGTTGTTGTTGAAAACTAAAAATCTTTTGCTAAGATTTTGTAAACAAAGGAAAAACTCAATGTCAGGCTGGTTATTTTTATGAAGAATTAAGTCATCAAATTATTGTTTATTATTATTTCTCATAACAATGCATTATTATTATTATTATTATTATTATGTCCAATGTTATGCTGATATGACTTATGATGATATTAGATTAACATTACTGCCAGCAGAATAAGAGCTTAACATTCAATCACATCACAATCACAAGTCTTCAAAATCTTCAAAAGAGTTTCAGTGGAGTAAAGTGCATTGACTGAAAGATATTGCCATACAGCGCCATCTAGCGGAGAGATTGAGGGTGTGTGTGTGTGTGTGTGTGTGTGTGTGTGTGAGTGTGAGTGAGTGAATGAGTGAGTGGGTGTGTTAATGGACAATTGTTTCCATTGTAAAGCCTATATATTCTTTCTGAATGGAAGCTCTGAAGTTGAGAAGAAGTTGATCTGATGCATTATGACACGTGTTTTAATTAGTCCTTGATGGTCATTCACTGTGATGCGTTTCAGTGTTTCCAGCTCATTGTAGTTTTTATTCATTTAAAGATGCTTTGTGGTTTATTAGTCTAAAATTGTAAATTATTATGCATTTTAATCATTTTTGCAAAATTAAAAAATGTTAATGGGATATAAGGATGTTTGAGATGGTCCCAGAAAGTCTTTGTCAACACTTTTCTATCAAAAAGTGGTGTGAAACATTGAAAAAAGAAGAAAAAGAAAAGTATATATATATATATACAGTAGTCAACATTTGAAGTGGATCAAAGCCTTTCATCAAAGTTGTCCTAAAACCAAAATGTTTTCTTGTCTTGGGGCAACTTTGATGAACTTTTTTGATCCACTTCAAATGTTGACTACTGTATATATACTGTATATAATAATAATAATTAGTGCTGTCAAACGATTAATCACATCCAAAATAAAAGTTTTTGTTTACATAATATATGAGTGTGTATATGTATGTATATATTAATACACACATGCATGTATATATTTAAGAAAAATGTTATGTTTATATATTAAATATATTTATATATATATAATATAAATATATCAATGTATATACATGTAAATATTTTCAAAATATGTACTGTATTATATATACATAATAAATAACCACAGTACACATGTATTATGTAAACAAAAACTTTTATTTTGGATGCGATTAATCACGATTAATCATTTGACAGCACTAATATATATATATATAACTCGTTTACACATGGGAGAGAATGCATATTTATATTGAGTCTTATCACATTTATGTTTTGCAAATGTGAATAAATTGTAAATGGTAATTTTAAAGTGTTTTCATTTTTACAGAACATGAATGTTTTCAACATCAACACACACACAAAAAAATGGTAGCCTATAGGAACAATTTTAATAAGATATCGCCAGAGCTGGATTACTTACAAATTGTAGTCCGTTACTGATTACAGATTACAGATTACATGATGATAAACTTGTTAGATTACTTTGATCAAACTTGTTTTAAACTTGCATTAAACATACTATGTTGATATAAAAGAGCAAAGAGAAAGAAAATATATTCATTTATATATATACAGTATATATATATATATCAACATAAAATAAATTGCACATTACATTATTACATTACATGCCAAACTGGGCTTCATGTAAGAACTGCAGTGAGTTTGCGATTGGATGAAAAGCTAATAATTAAATCTTAAAAATGTACAATAAAAAGAATTAAAACCCTTGAACACTAAACATATTACAAGTTTGTGCATGTGACCATTAACCAACGTCAGAGAACTGTAAACATGAGTGTGTGTGATTTTAAATTAAATACATATATTAAATTATATACACATATTATATTTTAAGGGCTCCAGCTGACAAAAAAAGTTTGGGAATCCCTGCATTATATGAACAAACATTAATAAACATGAAAACAACAATGACATTACATGCACAAAGTCTTCCAGGTTTTTTTTCATTCCATTACAAATAATTTACTGCCATTGTGTGAATAATACGTAATCCATAAAAAGTAGCTGTAATCATATTATGAGCTTTTTAAAATATAATCGACTCCAATACAAGTACTAATTTTTGGAATCTGATTACATAATCCAGGTTACATGTAATCAATCAATACACGGGAAATTGGTAGTAAATGTAACAAATAATTACAAAGATGTGACAAGTAACACATTGAATTAAACATTAAATCTTAATGTGGAAAGACAAATATTTTTTTGTAAAACCTACTCTCATAATCTGTGTTATTTACAACTTTGAATGATTATTTTATGTATTTATTACAGTGAAGATTAAAATGCATATGGTTCAATGACAAATACGGGTGTTTAAGATGGTCTTTGAAAAGTCTTGTTCATGTTGAACTCATAGTCGAAATCATGAATTCATAATATAGATTAAAGACTTTTTTAAAAACTTTTCTACAAAGTGTAAAATGCACTGAAATGCAGAAATTCCTAATCTTAATAATTTCAGTTTTTTTTTTCTTTTTGCAATGGAATTTCTTTTTTTTTATGTGACCCTGCAGCACAAAAGCAGTGTTAAGTCGCTGGGGTATATTTGTAGCAATAGCCAAAAATACATTGTATACCGTAAATATATCAAAACTTAATTTTTGATTAGTGATATGCATTGCTAAGAACTTCATTTGGACAACTTTAAAGATGATTTTCTCAATACTTAGATTTTTTTGCACCCTCAGATTCCAGATTTTCAAATATTGTTCTATCCTAACAAACCATACATCAATGGAAAGCTTATTTATTTCCAAAAATTGACCCTTATGACTGGTTTTGTGCTCCAGGGACACATATAGACTACTATATAGTGCTTATACTTAGACTTCACGAAATCTATTTGATATTTAATTATATGCATGAGTCGTACTTTTTTGTTCTTAAATAGAACAACCATGTGACCTTTGCTTCTTGTAATGTCAGAAAAGCACCAGCATGTGGCGTCTTCAATCCGCAGCTGCTCCAGAATAAAGCATCCGTGATCCGACAAATCCTCTATGCTCCGAGCTGGAAAACCTTCCGACTGTCTTCCTTTCATACAGCTGTGCCAGTGTCTCTCCGCTGCAGTCGAGCAAAGCCAGGGTTCTGCTGAAATCCTCGCAGGATCTGGATGCAGACAATCTGGCAGGCGTGGTCGTGGGCCGGTCCAGCCTGCCATAAACGTCAAAAACAGAGGGATGCGGAGGGCTAGGAAAACACAGACCCACATCAACACCGTTCACACTGGAAAAACGAGCCTGATTATCGATCGCTAGGTTTTGACACATTGCATTGCATTGCAGATTCACAGGGCGTCTGTGCGCGCAAAGGACAAAGAGGAGAGGATGTTGTAAGGTATGCATCTCTTTGCCTCATTTTTCCATCGCTATTTTAGCTGAGTTTTCCAGGGATTTAATCAGTGCATGCACATGAAGGAATTTCAGACTCCACGCATGCATCACATTGACGCTGCTTATGTGCCATGATACCGTATGAACGCACGAATATCCTATAATAATGATTTACTACACCCTCATCAGAAAAAGCACTGGACAAAATGCAATTAGATTGTGTGAATAATTTAAATATGCGTGTTGATGCATGCTACTGTTATTAAAGCGTGTTGTATTGTATTAATCAGAGGCCCTGGAGCCTTGTTTTCATTTATGAGGCATGATGCTACTCGTGTAGACTGGAAACCCGTTTCTATTTTATTTACCCCTCATGTTGGAGTATAATTTGTCCTCGGTTAAAAGCGCGATTGGATAGTTTATGGTGTTTTATGGTTATGATGCTGATGCTGCAGGCTCCTGTTGTTGCTAGGCAGCCGCGTACAGGCCCATAAGAACCGATAATAATACTTTATCAATAAATGGATGTATATGTGACTCCATTATGCACTTTTGTATCACCCTAACAGTTAAAATGCTGCTTTTGTCGCCCTCTGTTACATCAGCCCCTTTGGTAGCAGTTGAGAGGGTGTTGTTTTGCTGTGGAAGAGGTGGGTATGACACACGAGTCTTGTTTTCATTTATGAGGCATGATGCTACTCGTGTAAACTGGAAACCCGTTTCTATTTTATTTACCCCTCATGTCGGAGTATAATTTGTCCTCGGTTAAAAGCGCGATTGGATAGTTTATGGTGTTTTATGGTTATGATGCTGATGCTGCAGGCTCGTGTTGTTGCTAGGCAGCACGTACAGGCCCATAAGAACCGATAATAATACTTTATCAATGAATGGATGTATATGTGACTCCATTATGCACTTTTGTATCACCCTAACAGTTAAAATGCTGCTTTTGTCGCCCTCTGTTACATCAGCCCCTTTGGTAGCAGTTGAGAGGGTGTTGTTTTGCTGTGGAAGAGGTGGGTATGACACACGAGTCTTTCTTTCTCCCTGGAATAAGAGCCCTGGAGAGAAAGAGAAGATGGCATGGCCCTCTCTGCTCAATCTCCAGCGCTCCTAAAACCCTAAAACCTCTGCCAAACAGTCTAGAGCATAATCAAATGACCCGTCTTTTATTAGGGTTGGCTGACTACTTTTCTTTTTAATTACCTTCTTGAGCACATAATGGATATTATCATAATGTATTCATTAAATTTGCAGTTTTTTCATGAGGTTCAGCTGCAGGGGGAATGATGTGAAAAGTATTTTTTGGGAAATGGTTATGAGGGGGTTGGGGGTATGTGATAGACTTAACGCAAATATACTCTTCAGATGTGGCACAGAAGCTTAATTTTGCTTTGTAAAGATGCCTTTAGATGCGTGCACTCTTCATTAGTGAAAGTCAAGATTCACCTGCACAATTCATAGCAAATTTACAGCAAAGTTGCATGAATGTACCAAAGCATTCGCAACTTGTTCAAAAGAATGAGAAACTGCTTTTATGATGTGCACAAGTGACTAGATGATGTGGAGGATGCACAAGTAGTTTTGAGACTGAGAAATGCACCAAAGCGACTAAGGCTGTAATGTTGACTGTCTGAATTCTTAAACTAAAGCAGTTGTATGTACTTGTATTTTTGTGACGTTGGAGCCTCCTACAGTTACGTGAGTTTAATCCGCTGTCGTAAATATAGTGCTGTGTAGCTGTACACGTGCATTTGTTGCTGCTTTAAAACAATCCGCTATTTTTACAGAATTTCTGATTTTTTTTACATACTACAAGAACAGACGTTTGGGGGGAACTTGAGAAAGAAACAGAAGCCATTCACCTTATTGTACCATCAGAATGATTTTGAAACTGATATAAAAATATACAGTTGCTTTAATGTAACCACAAGCTACAAAGAGATAAAGTTGAGAACTAAATGTGTATTATTAGTGCCATTTAGGTATGTTATCACGTTAAAAAATGAATTTCATCATGGAAATGACTTTGTCAAGTTTGTACACAATGTTGTGTCTGCCTCGTAAGACCAGAAAATAGGGAAAAAAGTGTGTGGATATAGTATGGAGTTGGGAACACACATAAAGCCAGAAAGAGTGGGATTAAAACTCCACACAAGGCTAAACTTGCATAGAAATTGGTTTTTATTCTGCGTTGAAAATGCATTCTGTTCCACCTCATAATAGGTTTTAAAAGCACGCATGCATTTTTGGTTGTCGTGGGTCACTGAGTTCTCAGTACATTATGCAGAAGTGAACGCACCCAGAACCACACATTAACTTAATTATGATTCGTCTAAAGTCAATCCAACATCACTTTAACCATTATACATCTCCCTCCTGTACTTCATGCTCTCTCCCCACTTCCTCCAAGCATTATGGTCTGTCAGTGGGAGAAAGCCCTCATCCGGTCAGGAAAGCTCTGTTTCAGACCGATCAATACGTAACAGACCCACGAACATCTCAGCTTGACATCAAACTCCTGCTGCAGCAGAAGCCAGAGCTGTACACATCTGTGAGCATCTTTCAGATTAAACTGTAGGTTCATATGAACAAGAATACTGTAAGTGCAGACTCGCTTTATTTCGCTCAATTAATTTCGATCCGCTTGTGTAAAAAGCTGTGCTCGAAACTGATCCAGGAACAGCGCAGGGCGGCGCCAGTTTGGTGTCTGGATCCAAAGGGGCCCCGCTCATTATAGAGTCTCCCCAGAGAGACGAGCTCTTAGCGGGGGTCCCAGAGCACCTACTATCTAGATAGATAGATAGATAGATAGTAAAGAAGCATTCATTTCAATAAAAGTGAGGGTAAAGACATTTATTATGTTACAAAAGATTTCTATTTGAACTTTCTATTTATATAAGTCCATAAAAATATATCGTATTTCCACAAAAATATCAAGAAATGTTTTTTGAGCAGTAAATCAGCATATTAGAATGATTTCTGAAGATCATGTGACACTGAAGACTGGAGTAATGATGCTGAAAATACAGCTGTGATCAAATAAATAAATTACAGTTTAAATGGTATTACAGCAGAAGCCAGCTATTTTAAATTGAAAAAAATATTTCACAATATTACGGTATTTATTGTGTTTTTAATAAATTTACTGTATTTTGTAGTTGTTGGTTTTTTTTGCAATTAAATTTGCAGCTTTTTGCTATGTAATTTGCCAGTTTGCTGTATGGCTGATTGTTTTATGTGTCTTTATTACTGGTTAAAAGAGTCTACCGTTTTGTGTTTTGTTTTGTTTTGTTTTGCTTTGCTTTGCTTTGTTTTGTTTTGTTTTGTTTTGTTTTGCTTTGCTTTGCTTTGCTTTGCTTTGTTTCGCTTCGTTTCGCTTCGCTTCGTTTCGTTTCGTTTTGCTTCGCTTCGTTTCGTTTCGCTTCGTTTCGTTTCGCTTCGTTTCGTTTCGCTTCGCTTCGCTTCGTTTCGTTTTGCTTCGCTTCGTTTCGTTTCGCTTCGTTTCGTGTCGCTTCGTTTCGTTTTGCTTCGCTTCGTTTCGTTTCGCTTTGTTTTTTGTTTCGCTTTGCTTTGCTTTGCTCTGCCATCCAGTACATGAAAATCTAAGGTGTAAGGCTGATTGTAATAGCCTCAAAAGCACTATTAATTGTTTTGAATCAGGCTCATACTGTAGTCCCTCCTAAACTCACACTTGAGTCTGGGCTCTTCAAACAAACAGAGCGATGTTTTCAAATCGTCACAGAAGTGCCTACACTTTTGAGAGATGAACTTATGAGTGTCTTACTTATTATTGCCTCTGCAGATTAAACCAGGATAATAAACCAGAAAATGTTTAATACCAAAGAAAATTCCATCACCTTTTAAGCACAAAAGTTCAGAAGTGCTTAAATATTCAGTTCAGGTGTTGTTGTTTTTTGTCCAGGCTGAAGGACCATTTATTTAACATAGGAATAAGATAGAATTGAAAAAATAAAAGCTATTGGGGCTTATGGTCTTAGATTACGCGCTATCTGTTATAAATCCCGTAACAGCATCATCTTCACTCTAGTTGGTTTTAGTCATGAATCTGAAAGACTTCTCTAAATGTAATTTCTTAAATAGATCTTCCTCGACTAAACAAGCAAACTAATCGATCAGATTTGCTAATGCACATAAAGAACTGCTGTATACATATCGCTGTCAGCACTATTTACGCGGTGTGCTTGGATGCATGACGGTTATACTGGGTGTGGTGAGCAGAAATACTTATCTAGCATTCGCAGGCCTGTCCATGTGTGCATATGCATGTGTGTCTATTATTAATGCGTGCCTGTATGTCCTCATATGCACATATGTGACCCTGCAGCACAAAAGCAGTGTTAAGTCGCTGGGGTATATTTGTAGCAATAGCCAACAATACATTGTATGGGTCAAAATTATACATTTTTCTTTTATGCCAAAAATCATTAGGATATTAAGTAAAGATCATGTTCCATGAAAATATTTTGTAAATTTCCTACCGTAAATATATCAAAACTTAATGTTTGATTAGTAATATGCATCGCTAAGAACTTAATTTGGACAACTTTAAAGATGATTTTCTCAATATTAGATTTTTTTGCACCCTCAGATTCCAGATTTTCAAATAGTATCTCGGCCAAATATTGTCCTGTCCTAACAAACCATACATCAATGGAAAGCTTATTTATTCATCTTTCAGATTATGTATACATCTCAATTTCGAGAAATTGACCCTTATGACTGGTTTTGTGCTCCAGAGTCACATTTTTTCATCTTGTTGAAAACGGTACAGACATTGGTTATACTGTTAGTAGTAAATACGGTTCAATCAAACAGGCAATCGCTACACTACTCAAACTGTCAATCTGTATTTCAAATTTCCACCCATGTCACCTAGCTGCCACATAAAAATACATTCTTTACAAGTTGAGAAAGCAGTAAACAAGTTGTCACATTCATTTGAGATAAACATGAATAAATAGAATAGCACGTATTTCAATGAAAGTACAGCAGTCACAAAGTAAAAACACAACAGAAATGAATGAGTGCATGAGAAGATCATGTAAAAGAAAACCTTGGATAATTTCAGTTGCGGTACCTAAATTAACGGCACCATCATGCAAGTCATCTGCAAAGAGTCTTCATGCTGAGAAGAGGCGGGTGAATCTGATGAAAACCTCCTAGTCATATTTCACTCCAAAATCGAAAGGAGAAAAAAGAAGAAATGGTGTTTTGCATAAAGAAAATGAAGCTTAATTGTGACCCTGGAGCACAAAAGCAGTGTTAAGTCGCTGGGGTATATTTGTAGCAATAGCCAACAATAAATACATTGTTTGGGTCAAAATTATAGTTTTTTCTTTTATGCCAAAAATCATTAGGATATTAAGTAAGATCGTGTTCCATGAAGATATTTTGTAAATTTCCTACTGTAAATATATTAAAACTTAATTTTTGATTAGTAATATGCATTGCTAAGAACTTCATTTGGACAACTTTAAAGATGATTTTCTCAATATTTAGATTTTTTTGCACCCTCAGATTCCAGATTTACAAATATTGTCCTATCCTAACAAACCATACATCAATGGAAAGCTTATTTATTCAGCTTTCAGATGATGCATAAATCTCAATTTCAAAAAATTGACCCTTATGACTGGTTTTGTGTTCCAGGGTCACATATATGTAAAATAAAACTTTTCCATGATGTGCATGGGGATTTTTCATTAACATAACTCCAGATTATACCTGACTAATTATTTCCATACTGTATTTCTTTTTTTCTTGCTCCCATCCAGCCGTATCGCCTGGTCCTGCTTTGCCTATCCTTTCCTTTCTCTGTTTTCTTTCTCTCCCCTTCTCCTCTGTCCCACGCTGGGAAGAAGAAGATGAGTAGAAGTCCCACTCCTAAAGGGACTCCGGTCCAGCACAGTCCTGTAGACGGAGAGTGTCTGGAGGGAGAAATGATCCAGTCTCCGCAGCAGTCCACGCCATCCAGCGGCCTCAAGAAACGAGTTTCCAGTCTCCTGCAAAGCCCTGTGAGTAATGAAGTGTGCGCCAATGAGTGAAGCTCATATATTTGCATTTGAGAATCAACTCAGATTTGTGTTTGTAGTCTTGTGGGCTGAGAGAGTGCAACGCTGATCATCTACTTTTTCCGCAGCTTTGATTCCGGAAGATTTTTCCCTGTTGATGTTTTCCATAGGGACTGAAGAAAAAGTTCAAACCAACCTCTTCTGAGAGAAATCACAAAATTACAATTCAGAGTAAAAAGAGTATGAAAATCTGAACAAAAAGACAAAAATGATGAGAAAAAAAAAATTTATTATTATATCTGAGCTCCTGCTATTTATGTTTTGATGGTTTTATATATTATCACCATCAATACATTTGCCTACAGAGAAAATGAATGAGGTTTTTACTTCCAGGATGCTGCTTTTGCGCTCTGATGGGAATGATATGATCATAAGTGAGATTGTAGAAGTGAATATAAGTGCTGGCTTTCAGAAAGCTTACTGAAACAGCAGATCTCCCATTCCTTTCATTCTGTCCACCCTGTAATGTCCTGCCTTCAATCCCTATGTCCTCTCTCCCCTTCCACCTCATTAGGTTCCCAAAGATATGATTATCTCCACAGCTCAGATATAATCTGCCCTACAATTAATAATACAGAAAATAATAATTTTAATTTAATATATTTGAATAGTATTTAAAGGATAATGTTAATATATTAATAAAATTGGGGTTATATATAAAATAATAATAAATATTATTATTATTTTGAAGAATACTGCTCTGTTTTCCTCAAATATGCAATATATTTTCATTGAAACATTACAACATTTGATTTGAAGTTAAAAATATATGAAAATCTAAACAAAAAGAATCACAGTAACTACAATTTTATATAAAACTGTTAACTTGGAGTCTTTAATTGTAAGTATGTTTGAAGTTAATATATAATATATAAGTAGTTTAAGAGTGTAGGGAGATTTGTGCAGATAATATTACAATCATTGTTCTTGACAGATCAACAGAAACTAAATATTGAACAGCCAGGCTTTTTTAGATATTTAAAACAAAGTGACTTCAAAGATTCAGCTATAAATGAAGTGCAGGATGAGTCTCACATCCAGAGTCCTCAGAGCTCTGAGAGTGAGAGAGTGAGAGAGAGTGAGTGAGAGAGAGAGAGAGAGGAGAGAGAGAGAGAGAGTGAGAGAGAGAGAGAGAGAGACACAGAGAGATATTATATTCAATCCGATATAAAGCCCTCCTCGCCAATGAAACCTCAGCAGAAGATAGTGCAGGGAGTTTCTGGTGTTGCTGTAAAACTATAAAAAGCACTCAGAATGGAGGGAACGTGTTGAAGGAAGGACAGAAGTGAAGAGGTCAATCCATTCTCTCTTTCTCTGTTGTGGACTGTACTGGAACTCAAATATTCCTCCAGCTGTTTGTTTGCGTATGTTCACCAGTGTATTGTTTTGTCTGGGTTTATATTTGTGCTGCATTCAACTTTTCAATATGTGGGCAGTTGACATTATTTAATGCTTCGTGTAAAACTTAAACAACATTTTTTGATTCTTGTATAATTATCACAGTGCTTACAAGGTAAAACTGTATTGATATTCCTTAATTCTTATCAATTCCTGTTCTTCAGTATTAAACATCTGCAGTTAATTCTGCTTAACGCAAACTACTCAACTCTATTCAGACTTTCAGCTGTCTGTTGTTAGTTTTTCTGACTTGGTAAGAAGATTATTGCTTTAGTTATTCTTGTATATATATTTAGCCATGTAAAGACTGTCATGGTATGTGTTGATTATGTAGAAAAGTAAAAGTTAAGAAAAGGCTTTGAAAGAAGACTCTAATGCAGTGTTTCATTTGCATATAACAAACCTTAAAAGGTTAACTTGTGAAACTTCAATACTTTGTTTCTAGATTGAAGCACTGGTGTTTTCTTAAGAAAATGCTCATCTGGTTACTGTATACATTAGGTTTTTTGGACTATACTCTACTGTTCAAAACGTTTTTTTAAAGAAATTAATACTTTAATATAGCAAGGACGCTTTAATTTGATCAAAAGTGTCAGTAAAACCTTACCTATTTCAAATAAATGCTCTTCCAAAAACTTTGTTCATTAAAAAATTCTAAAAAAACATGTATCGCAGTTTCCACAAAAATATTTCTTTCAACATTGATAACAAAGAAATGTTTCTTGAGCATTAAATCAGCATATTAGAATGATTTCTGAAGATCATGTGACACTGAAGACTGGAGTAATGATGCTGAAAATACAGCTTTGATCACAGAAATAAATTACAGTTTAACAGATACTGAAATAAAAAGCAGTTCTTTGAAATTGTAATAATATTTCACAATTTTACTGTTTTTACTGTATTTTTTATTAAACGAATGCAGCCTTGGTGAGCATAATGGACTGCTTAAAAAAAAAACATTTAAAAAATCTTAACCAAACCATTTTCATGGTACTTTTTTAAAATTCACGTGTCACACACTAAAAAAAATGATACTATATTTTTTAAGGTAAGTGGTTGCAAACAATTTATTTTAGCTACATTTAAATAAAAAACATTTTGAAAGTTGGTCAACTAAATTTGTTTATTTAAATGTAGCTTAAATAAATTGATTGCAACCACTTACCTTTAAAAAATTAGTAAATTTAATTAATCTTTTTTTTTTTTCAGTGCACTGCATTTCAATGCACCATTTCAGTGAAATGTGAAAGGGGCAAAAAAATATTAGCAGTTGCATTCTGTAATGATAACACAAAATGTTCACCTCAGATGCTGCTTTCTAAACAAATTCATGGTTATTTACCACCTATGTGCACAAAGTGCTTTTCCCTTTATTTGTGTGTATTGTGTAGCTGAGTACAGAATGTGATTTGTGTGTTTTAGTCCTTCAGAGAGGAGCTGGATGTGTTGATTCAGGAGCAGATGAATAAAGGAGGAAGCTCCTCTAATCTGTGGGCTCTTAGACAGATCGCAGACTTCATGGCCACTCACGGATCCCCGGCCTCGCTGCCCGTCTCTCAGTCCAGTATGTAATGATTTACAAATGATTTACTAAAGCAATAAGCCCCGTGAAGCCGTGGTTTACAGTGAATTTATAACAGCTAAGGGGCGTTGTTAGCTTAGCTGTTATAAATTCACTGTAAACCATAGCTTCATGGGGCTTATTGCTTTTATAACACGGTTATTCCATATACGTAGTAAGGTTTCACAAAATAAAACAGAGCAAATAAAGTGTAATGATATTAATAAAAACAGTATTCTTCCACCAAACAATGTAGTTCCTCAGAAACAGTTGTGGTTGCTACAAAGTGGTTGCCGAGCAACAGACAAACGTAAACAAAGGTGTATGTTACTTTGTAGAGTAATTTACAACAGCTTTGAACGCAGCTCAACCAATCAGAATCAAGCACCGGAACTCTCCATTTTATACATTATATAAATAATAATAAATATATTATTGCTTGTGTTTCAGAGATAAAGCCTGATGTGTTTGCATGTTTCATGTAAATACAGTATGTCTTCCTCTGCTTAGTGATTTTTTTCACTTGTGAAATCATGCATAGTGTTGTTAAATATAAGACAAAAAAATTATTCTTACTTAAAAAAAAAAAAGTTATTTATTATCCAGTGAGAGGTTTATGCAAGCTTGTTTCTGTCACAGAATAAAATCATAAAAAAGGTGTTTGCACAGTTTTATCTAACAAGTGTCTCGCAAATGCAAGTTTATATCTTACAATTGCAGATTTACATCTTTGCAATTTTTATTTTCTTTTGTTTCCGCCACACAATAAAAGATGAAATAGAACTTATATCACAATTCTGACTTTTGTCTTGCAGTTGCAAGTTTATACAGTATCTCACAATTCAGACTTTTCAGTAACACTTTATTTTAAGGAGCTATTCTCGCTATTAACTAGTTGCTTATTATAATGCATATTACTAGAATATTGACTGTTTATTGGTACTTATAAAGCACATATTAATGCCTTATTCTGCGTGACCATATTTTAGATCCTTAAACCCCATACCTAAATTAACAACTACCTTACAGCCAATTAGGAGTTTATTGAGGGAAAAGTCATAGTTAATAGTGAATATGTGTTTCCTATCCTAAAGTGTTACTGACTTTTCTTCTCAGAAGTCATCGCAAAAAATGCTTCCAGATATTTTGGCTGGAAACAAGACAAAAAAAATCCAAGTAATAATACTTGGATTTTTTTTGTCTTGTTTCCAGCCAAAATATCTAAAAACTCTTAAATCAAGAAGATTCAAACAGAAAACAAGATTATTTTGCTTGTTTCAAGCAAAAACTCACTTAATTTTGACTGGGGTTTTTTTTCTGAAAACAAGACAATAATTTTTACTTTTTACCTTCTTGATTTAAGAATTTTTAGATATTTAGATATTATAGATAAAAAAATCTAAGTAAGAAAAGCATTTTTTGCAGTGTTGCAATTCTGAGTTTATATTGTGCAACTATAAATTGCATGAAAAAAGTCAGAATTGTGAGATTATAAAGTCAATTTTTGAATCCCGTGACAAAAACAAGCTTCCATGGAGTTTTTGTTCCATTCATCATTCATTCACGTAACATTTGTGAACCTGGAGCACAAAAGTCGTAAGGGTAAATTCTGTGAAATTGAGATTTATGCATCATCTGAAAGCTGAATAAATAAGCTTTCCATTGATGTATGGACTGTAATGAAGGCTGAAAATACATGTTTCTGAAAGAAGCCTATATTTGACCGAACTTCAGTAAAAACAGAAATAATGTGAAATATCATAAATATATGTTTTCTGTTTTAAATATATTTTAAAATGTAATTGATTGCTGTGATCAAAGCTGAATTTTCAGTTATTATTCAGTGTCACATGTTCATATGCAGATCAGGTGCTTATTATCATCAATGTTGAAAACAGTTGTACCGCTTAATATTTTTGTGGAAGCCGTGAATCAATTTTTTAGGATTCTTTGGTGAATAGAAAGTCCAAAATAGCAATATTTTTTATTTATTTAAAATAGAAATCTTTTATAACAGTATGAATGTTTTAACTGTCACTTTAATGCGTCCTTTGTGAATAAAATTAATTTCTTTCAAAAGAAGTCTTTCTGACCCCAAACGTTTGAGAAGTAGCGTATTTGTCTTCTTAAACTGTTATGTAACTCAAGCTTATGATAATACAAAATTCACATATAGTGCACTTTAAATAACTTCACACAGCTGCCAGTCTGTCACTTCGAATGGAAATTAAGCAAATTTTTGCTGCATTTACTTTAGCATACTTATTCATATTTCTCTCTCTCCTTCGCTGAGTCTTTAGGGATTTAAGAGCCTATCCTAATAGGAAGTGATTTTGAGATCAAGTCTATCCAAGTCTGGTAATGAGGTTGCTGCTTTGATTTTCACAAGAAGTATGAAGATCAAAACTCGTAAAGGGATAGTTCACTCAAAAATGAAAGATACTCACCCTCATTACATTTTAAACTCTTAGGGCTTATTTTCTTCAGAGAAATTAAGTAGATTATTTTGTTCCTTACAAGTTATGTGACTACACAACATGACTGCATTATAAAAGTTAGGACTTGTACGCTATAGTCCAAATATAGCTTTGTCTGAACACAAATATGATTCATCGTCTCATATCATCATATATGAATCTGTACAGGTTTGGCAGGATCTGAGGATGAGTCAGAGACGTCAGATTTTTCTCTGATGGCTGAATGAACCCTTGCTCTCAGGAGAATGATAATGTGATGAAAGCATCTGTTTTTCTCTGCAGATGCGTGTTAGTAAAGAACAGGAACATTTCCTCGTGCTGCCGGATGGTTTGGCCTACGGCGAGGGGACCGCCTCCAATCTGGTGAGACTCTAACACACACAAACCAAACCGGTTCCTCCTTATGAGAGCCTTTCTCTGGGAAAAGCATTCAAATGAAGGTCACCAGTTTGAGATTGTGTATTGTTTGCTGATAAAACTGAAATTTCAGCATGTTCTGGGCATATATACTGTTGCAAAAATAAGGCACTAGATGATGTTACTCGTGAAAAATGCATGAATCGTTTTCACGCATGTGTACAAACTGCATCCAGAATGGTCACTTTGTAATGGATAAAATAAGAAACAATGCAGTTCACAGTTATACTAAAGGGAAAATGCAGCAATTTAATTTTTATACAGTGGTGGCCAAAATGATTAGAACACTGGTTTCACTATTTTTATTTTTTTTTAAATGTAAATGAATATTGGAATGATTAAATATTTTTTAATCAAGTACTTGTTTAAATATATTGAGAGATGATGGAAAAGTAGTAAATGATGCAGTTGGACCTCATCTTCATTGAAGCATGCGCTCTCTCCAGGTGAAGGTGAATATTCTGGGGGAGGTTGTGGAGAAAGGCAGCACTGCTCTGGGAGTGGATCTGTCTGCGTTTGGTCTGCATTCTGCCGTATATTCAGCTCGACCGGACATCCGCTGCCTTCTGCACCTCCACACTCCAGCCACGGCTGCGGTACACCACCTCTTTACTCTCTGTGGAGCACTGCTTTCTACAGTCTCTCTGATCAAAACCTATGAGATTATTCAACATTTAACAATTATACTAAATTAAATACTAGTTTGTTTTTATTAGTTGTTTAATATTTACATGTCATAAATTACTTTATTTTCTATCTACCTATCCATATTTATTTATCTACCAGGTTTGTGAAACCCATAAATGAAAAGCATTATTTTATTTTATTATTTTATTTTATTTTATTTTATTTTATTTTTGTATCCCCGAGGTTTGTGAAACACATAAATGAAAAGCATTTATTTTATTTTATTTTATTTTTGTATCCCCGAGGTTTGTGAAACACATAAATTACTTTTATGTATTTATTTATTTATATCACAAGATTTTGAAAAACATAAATTACTAATTTTTATTTTATTTTATTTATATATATATATATATATATTCATTCCGAGGTCCAGGCTTCCACTGATGGCACCAAAAAAAAAAAAAAAATTAGTAAAATAATTATTTAATATTATTATTATTATTATAGATGCATTGGCTGAAATCACTTACAGATCTGAGAGTTGTCAATTGTTAAAGTCATAAAACGATTTAAGTAGCACTTTTTCCTGCCATTCACACATTCTCTCAATCTTAAAATGTGTTTTTTTATTATTCTAGCACTGATCAACTCCTGTAACTAACACTGTTAATCTTTCATGTAGGTATCAGCCATGAAATGTGGCCTTCTGCCGCTATCCCATGAGGCTTTGCTGGTGGGCGATGTAGCTTATTATGACTATAATGGAGTGATGGAGGAAGAAGAGGACAGAGTGGAGCTCCAGAAGAGCCTCGGCCCGACATGCAAGGTCTGATCATAGATTATAGGCAGTGCATGCAGGGTTCCCACGGGTCCTTGAAATCCTTGAAAGTTTGTGAATCTGGAAAAAAATTTTCAAGGCCCTGGAAAGTTTAAAAAAATAAACGTACATAGATACAGGTCCTTGAAAGTGCTTGAATTTATTTTGTGCAAGAAGTTTTCTGGAAAAATTTCATATTATTCCCTCCGGTCCGTTAATGTGTTATTTCGCCAACACTTCGTGGCCTATGCATACTAGCTTGCTTGATGTACGTTAGTTACGCGCATTTTACGCGTTACGTTAAGTGTTTCCCGCGTGAGAAACTTTGTGTTGTATATGGCAAGCCAAAAGAGTCAGAATTAAATTTATGCCGTTAAATACGGCGGTTTTTACCGTTTACGCACGTTTTTTATGGCGTCTGCTATCAGGACGGTGTATTTGACGGCACTAATGCTTTAAACGCCGGAAAAAACAGCATTTTGTATGTAAATTTATCTATAGCGTAATTCTGACTCTTTTGGCTTGCCATAGTTGTACGTTGCCATGACGTTCACGCACCCACGCACGAAACTACTACAATGTTACCTTAACGTTTCACAGACACACCGTGAAATTAATGTTGAATTGCTTTGCTTGTTAAGATAATGTTAACCCATGAGGCAAGAAAAACTTAAAAGCATATTCATATATCTTAAAACTTCTGGTTACATGAGCCTAAGCTCTTTTCAATAAAATCCTAAGATCATTTTAGAATACAGTATTGGATGTACCGAATATTCTTCAGTTTTATGCAAAACAGAAATACAACAAATAGAATATCAGATCTCTGTCATATGGCCAAAAATAAATGCAAAAATAAAATAAAATGCTTTTTTTTTGCATAGTTGTGTTTGACACATGAAAACTATCATGTATCAATGTAACAATGTATCTTACAAGGTAACACGGTGTAACCTTGATCTCACTTGAAATGTGTCCCCACGTTAAGTCCTTGAATTTGAGGGTATTGGACCTGGAAAATCCTTGAAAGGTCCTTGCATTTTAAGTTAACCAAGGTGTGGGAACCCTGTGCATGTTCTGTTCGCTCAGAAGATGATGTGAGGCTCTGAAGGTTGTGAAGGGTTTGATGAAGTATTCCTGCACTGGGAAACGTCTGTCTGACTCTAATAGCTGCGATTCTACAGGTGCTGGTGTTGAGGAACCATGGCATCGTGGCACTGGGAGAGTCAGTGGAGGAGGCCTTTTACACAATCTATCACATCCAGACCGCCTGTCAAATACAGGTAGGCAAAAAATTCCTTCCCGTGAGGACAAAATATGGAAGAGTAGATTAGTGGGACAGAGTAAAGAGAGAGGACGCTAGTGTTCAGTCAGTCACCGGAAACCCAGAAAAATTCCTATTTGTTGTATAAATATAAATATTAGTATATGTATAATATATGTAAATATGTATATTATAAATAAATGTTTATAGTAAATACACAATACCTTTCAAAACTTAGGGTTAGGTCAGTAAGGTTTGTAAATGTTTTTTAAAAAACTCTCTTATGTTTCAGGGCTGCATTTATTTGATCAAAAATACAGTAAAAACAGTAAAATATTATTATAATTTAAAATTACCTGTTTTATTTCAGTATATCTTAAAATTTTATTTATTTCTGTGATGCACAGCTGTATTTTCAGCATCATTACTCCAGTCTTCAGTGTCACATGATCTTCAGAAATCATTCTAATATGCTGATTTGCTGCTCAAAAAACATTTATTATTATTATCAATGTTGAAATCCATGCATTTGTGGAAACAGTAAATTTTTCAGGATTATTTCTTTAAAATAACAGCATTTATTTGAAATAAAAGTCTGTAAAAAAAAAGACAATTTTTATCAATTTAATGCATCCTTGCTGAATAAAAGTATTGATTTATTTTAAAAAAACTTTTTGAATAGTAGTGTAAATATTTATAGTAAATATACGTTTTTCTCTTTTTCTAGTTTTTGCTTTGCTATACAGTATATTTCATCAGCTGCATATAATGAGATCATGTAGACTAAAAATACCAATGTAAAGCGTGTGATAAGACTGTCAGTTGAAGGTCTTATTGCTGATATTTGTATACTAATTAGTGTAATGATTTGAATCTACTAATCCAAACAATTTGCACATGGCATACCACTGAAAATCTGCCTTAGCAATCTGTATAACAGTTTTAAAGGACTCCATAAATGACTCATGGAAATCCATTGTGAACCATGAGAGAGAGACAACAAAAGGATTGTGAAAACTGAAGAAAAAAAAAAGTGCACAATGAATACGCCTCAGGCCGAAGGAAATGTAAATTCACGTCTGTACAGTAGAGGGCGCCACTCAAACAAACTGCATGAAGAATATGACGCAGGAGAATAAAGTTCAACACTATTCAGCAATAACACAAATGAAACACAAATGTGTTATTTTAATTTATAATAAATATCGTACCGTGGACGTCATATCGTGATATTATCGTATCATGAGATTTTGATATTGTTACATCCCTATGACTCGTTTAAATATCGCAATAAATATTGTATTGTGGACTTTATATCGTGATATTATCGTATAGTGAGATTTTGATATTGTTACATCCCTATAACTCGTTTAAATATCACAATTAATATCCTATCGTGGACTTCATATTGTGAGATTTTGATATCGTTACATCCCTATAACTCGTTTAAATATCTCAATAAATATCGTATCATGGACTTCATATCATGATATTATCGTATCGTGAGATTTTGATATCGTTACATCCCTATAACTCGTTTAAATATTGCAATAAATATCGTATCGTGGACTTCACATCGTGATATTATCGTATCGTGAGATTTTGATATCATTACATCCCTATAACTCGTTTAAATATTGCAAAAAATATTGTATCGTGGACGTCATATCGTGATATTATCGTATCGTGAGATTTTGATATCATTACATCCCTATAACTCGTTTAAATATTGCAATAAATATCGTATCGTGGACTTCATATCGTGATATTATCGTATCGTGAGATTTTTATATAGTTACATCCCTATAACTCGTTTACATATTGCAATAAATATCGTACCGTGGACTTCATATCGTGATATTCTCGTATCGTGAGATTTTGATATAATTACATCCCTATAACTCGTTTAAATATCGCAATAAATATCGTATCGTGGATTTCATATCGTGAGATTATCATATCGTGAGATTTTGATACCGTTACATCCCTACAACTCGTTTAAATATTGCAATAAATATCGTATCGTGATATTGTAATATTGTGAGATTTTGATATCGTTACATCCCTATAACTCGTTTAAATATTGCAATAAATATTGTATCGTGGACTTCATATCGTGATATTATCGTATTGTGAGATTTTTATATAGTTACATCCCTATAACTCATTTACATATTGCAATAAATATCGTATCGTGGACTTCATATCGTGATATTCTCGTATCGTGAGATTTTGATATCATTACATCCCTATAACTCGTTTAAATATCGCAATAAATATTGTATCGTAGACTACATATCGGGATATTATCGTATCGTGAGATCTTGATATCGATATTTTGTAATGCGTTACCCCAACACTGTTCGTATTGTTGGCTGACATGAATCTGCAGAATGCAGTCCTTCCACACTGATGGAGTCACGCTGCATTGCTCTGCTGTTCTTGGCAGGTGGCAGCACTGTGCAGCGCTGGAGGAGAACAGAACCTGATCATGCTGGACCGCAGCGTTCACCGGCCCGTCGCCACAGGCACTGTGGGTTGGGCCGGATCCACCTTCGGCCCCATGCACAAGAGCAGGCTGGGAGAACATGAGTTCGAAGCATTGATGAGGACGCTGGACAATCTGGTTAGTCTAGAATAGTGTAACCTTTGACCACAAAACCAGTCTTGAGGATCCATTTTTTTAAATTGAGATTTATACATCATCTGAAAGCTGAATAAATAAGCTTTCCGTTGATGTATGGTTTGTTAGGATAGGATAATATTTGGCCGAGATTAGGGTTGGGTATCGTTTGAATTTTAACAATTCCGATTCCGATTCTTATCGATTCCTAGTTTTGATTCTAATGTGGTAAAAAAAATGAAGTCAAACATTTAGTTATCAAACATATTTATTCTGTGTCTCTTTTAGCAAAACATTTAATTGCCGCTGAATACCGTGAACACAAATCAGCCGGCTACATAAAAACTGGACTCGATTAAGAGCTGTTTGTGTGAAAAATAGTGCTGCGCTATTCTGGATAAATTGAGACTTTTTGTGTGTGTGTGTTTGATGTTGTGGTACTCTCACGATTCTGAAGAAAAAACATAAGGCAACTAAACAAAATCTCATGGAATTTATGCATGGAATGATTCAATGACTCACTCAAGATTTACTTGTTTCATTACTGGATGATTCAGTGTTTTTGAATGAATCTCTTGAATGAATGATTCAAAGACAAATACATTTTTAACAGCCCCTTTTCGCCACCTAAAAAAAAGGAATTGATAGGCAGAATTGAATTTTTAATTTTACAAGTATCCAATTCCTGATCTTAAGTATCCGATTCTCGAATTGAAATTGATTTTTGATTCCCAACCCTAGCCGAGACGCAACTATTTGAAAAACTGGAATCAGAGGGTGCAAAAAAAATCAAAATAGTGAGAAAATCGCCTTTAAAGTTGTCCAAATGAAGTTCTTAGCAATGCATATTACTAATTAAAAATTAAGTTTTGATAGGTGGGAAATTTACAAAATATCCTAATGAGTTTTGGCATAAAAGAATAGCTTATTGTTATTACTATTAGACTTGACATTTGAACATCTGATCATCGTTCTTTAGGGTTACCGTACAGGTTATGCCTACCGTTTCCCAGTGATGCTGGAGCGCTCCAGAACCAGGAGAGAGGTGGAGGTTCCTGCCACCGTCACCTCATTTTCCTTTCATGATGATGGATTTCAGCCTCACCCTCGTCTCCATCCTCACGCCCAGAGACAGCAGCAGAAGACCAGATGGCTAAACACCCCAAACGTCTATCAGAAAGTCAGCCAGGACCAGGTCAGTCCGGGACATCGGACTACAGTGAAGGAGATTCAGTGTTGGGAAGTAACTAGTTACACGTAACTAAATTACGTAATTTAATTACAAAATAAATGTAATTGTAATCAGTTACAGTTACTGATAAAAAATGTGTAATTAAATTACAGTTACTTATGAAAATGTTAACAGTTACAAAGGGGGGTTACATCTGATTTGATTGATTTCTTTTATAAATTGCATTGACTGCTCTAAAATATGAGACAGCAATGTTTCAGGAGTTTAGGACACAGCATAGGACACTGATTTATTTACTATTTGGATTTATGCATATGCTTGTATTAATTTTTTTAAGATTAACTGTTTTTCCAAGGCATTGTTAGATGGCAGTGTTTCCTGTCATAGCTATGCAAAGATTTGATTTCAAAAACAGTATCATAGCTATTAAACTATTTCTTCTTATGGTTTTCAATCTGTATTTAACCTCAGAATGACCTCAAAGTAAGTCTGATTTTGTGGTGGCGGTGCTTTAAAAATAAATTATTATAATCTTAATTCAAGTGATGAAGGATTCTGAAAGTCTGATAGTAATCAGTGTTGAGTTCTACTGTAAGGTTAACCCTGCTTGGATTAAATGTTTCAAAATGATTAACATTTGAAAACATTAGAAATTTAGAAAAGTAATCAAAAGGTAATCAAATGTAATCAGTTACATTACTTTAGTAAAGTAATTGAAATAGTTACACTACTTATTACATCTTAGATAGGGTAACTTGTAATCTGTAACCGATTACATTTCCAAAGTAACCTTCCCAACACTGCGGGTAACTTGTGTAAACTCTATATAACTTGAGCATCCAAAACTGCTGATGTAATAGTTTTGGACTATGATAGCAGGCCGTTTCATAATTAGTGTGTTTTAGATTATGACGTTTTTAATGATGAGATCTTATTAGCACTGACCACTAAATTCTGTGTGTACTTAAAGGGGTCCTATTATGCTTTTTCACTTTTTCAACTTTAATTAGTCTGTAATGTTGCTGTTTGAGCATAAAAAAGATCTGCAAAGTTACAAAGGTCAAAGTCCACTTCAAAAGGAGATATTTTATTTAACAGAAATCACTTTTCAAAAACTACAACGAACAACTCGTTTGGACTACAACGCATATTTTCCAGGATTTGTGATATCACAAATATCGACGAATGGGACGAGACCTGGATGTAAAATATGAGAAAAATAATGTGTTTTTCGAACAACCTAGTATGAGAGCCTGTTCTAGTACACCCCCAAAACAAAATCAAGACTTTGTAAAAGAGCATAATAGGACCCCTTTAAGGGTTAGGGATTCAAACACACTGCTACATAGTGTGCGCATTGCAAGAGTAATTCACCCAAAATGAACATTTTCTGAAAATGTCATCTGAGATCAGGATGAGTTTGTTTCTTCATCAGGTTTGTAGAAATGTAGCACTGCATCAGTGTCTCAGCAATGGATGCTCTGCAGTGAATGGGTGCCGTCGGAATGAGAGTCCAAACAGCTGATAAAAACATCACAATAATCCACAAGTAATCCACAGCACTCCAGTCCATCAGTTAACATCTGGAGAAGACAAAAGCTGTGTGTTTGTGATAAAAGAAATCCACCTTTAAGACGTTTTTAACTTTAAACCATTGCTTCCAGCTAAAATATGCATCTTCACAGATCAAGCACAGTTTACAAGAGAAAAAGGTCCAAAACAGCTCTAAACAAATATGTAGCTGGATTTTGATGTGAGAGACAGCAGGAGATGGACTTTTTCATGGGAGGAAGCGCTATTATGGATTATGGAATCATATTTTGGAAGCAAGCAATGGTTTAAAGTTAAAACGCCTGAATGTTTTGTTTCTTACAAACACACAGCTTTTGTCTTCTCCAGATGTTAACTGATGGACTGGAGTGCTGTGGATTACTTGTGGATTATTGTGATGTTTTTATCAGCTGTTTGGACTCTCATTCTGACGGCACCCATTCACTGCAGAGCAAGTGATGCAATGCTACATTTCTACAAACCTGATGAAGAAACAAACTCATCCTGATCTTGGATGGCCAGAGGGGGAGTAAGTTTTCAGCAAATGATCATTTTTGGGTGAACTCAGATCCCAACAACAACCTGGCCTTGTGGTGGTGAGTTTTGCAAAAGCATCGGTCAGATTTTCTTCAGAAAATGTAAGACAGTAGATGTCAGTCTCATTTCAGTCATGTATTTTTGAATGACTAGCCTGTGAGTGTGTTGCAGTTCAGAAAATAGACTTACTATGAATCATAGGATATTATTGGAAGAGTAATAGCATACTCGTTAGATCACTGTGAGAGCACTACAGTTTCTCTCTGTCTCTTCTGCCATCTTCCACCCACCTCCCTTTCTCCTTCTCTGCAATGCAGGGGAGATATTTTATTGTCATAAAACTCACTGCAGTGCTTGCACTGCCCTCTACTGGTTGTAGATCTGTTGCAAATGTCCCTATCATATTTCTCAGAAATTGTCTGCTTTTTAACAGCCTTCCAGGAGTCTTCTGGGAATGTTTGACATGCATTTGGTCAATTAAGCAGCTGAACTCTTTCTATATTGATTTCTCCTCTTTTAGTGGCAGAAGGCCGAGGAAATCATGCAGGGCAGTGGACGGGCCATTAAGATAGAGAATCCAAACCAGTTTGTCCCTCTGTTCACCAACCCACAGGAGGTGCTTGAGACTAGAAATAAGGTAGCTTTTGGGTGTTAACATCTGCAGATTTTATCGATGTAAAAACTGAAATCAGGGCATTTTTTAAAAAGATTGTGCATCCTATTGTGAACAACGTGCATTTTGAGCAAATACACTACCAATGCTGATTAAACATACAGTGAAGCACGAAACATTATCTCAATTTAAACTTTAAAGGTGACATATTATGCCCCTTTTTACAATATGTAATATAAGTCTCTGGTGTCCCCAGAATGTGTCTGTGAAGTTTCAGCTCAAAATACCCCACAGATCATTTATTATATCATTTTGAAAATGCCTATTTTGAGTGGAAGCAGAAACAAGCTGTTTTTATTTATTTTATATTATTCAGTCATTACTCCGGTCTTTAGTGTCATGAACCATCAGAAATAATTCTAATATGCTGACTTGCTGATCAAGAAACATTTTTTTATTATCATCACTGTTGAAAACAGTTGTGCTGTTTCATATTTTTGTGGAAACCTTGATGCATTTTTCAGGATTCTTTGATAGGTAGAAAGTTCAGAAGAACAACATTTATTTGAAATAGATTTTTTGGTAGCAATGCAACTGTCCAGACTTTTCAAGACATTTGAATCAGTTACTATCATTATTATAATATAAGTATTACGGCACAGAATTGCAGTCTCACTAACAGTGTTTGTAGTGCTGTAACATGTAGTTTCAGTTGCACCATCAGGAACAAAGATCAGCTGATGCAGAGAGAGAGAAATAGAGAGAAGATTATTTACCAGTAAATAAGAATAGATGATTGTTCAGTCTGAGGAAGCAGAACATGCTGCATACAATAAATGCAAATTTCATAAATGATATTTAAATATGCATAAATTACTTTTGCACAAAAGAGCAAGTACTTTAAAAAATAATCAACCACTTTTTAGACTGTAATAAATTAATTGCAATCATAATGATAAAACTGAATTAAGATCAAATTCTTTAATTGTTGTAAGAAGTTAACAATTTTGCTGTCAAACTTCCTGATTGAAATAAAAGCATGCATGACAGCAATAAATGTTCATGCAATGAGTTTGAAATATTACTTGTCAGATATGTTTAAGCTCTAATGCAACGGTTGTCTTCATAAGCACAAAGGTCTTTGGCAGTTGGATGTTTTTTCCAGGGGAATGTTTAAGCTTGGGAGAACAGTAAAGCACACATGCATCACATTAGGCAGAATCCTCTTCTGAGAGCAATGTAGAGGATGAAAATGCTGTTTGTATTTCAGATACGGGAGCAGAATCGTCAGGACATGAAAACAGCCGGACCTCGGTCTCAGGTGTTAGCCAGCGTCATCACAGACAACAGTCCACCGGTAAATCACAGCATGTCACTCAGTTCATATGTGACCCTGCAGCACAAAAGCAGTGTTAAGTCGCTGGGGTATATTTGTAGCAATAGCCAACAATAAAAAAATTATTGTTATGACTGGTTTTGTGCTCCAGGGTCACATATATACTCATGTGTACACTTTTTATCTACAAGGTTCTCTTGTTTTGAAAAAAAAATGTATCAGATTATATATATGGGTTAGGTTTGTTTTTCTTATCCCATTGTAAATACTTTTTCCAAATGTAGTGTTTTTTTTTTTTTTTTACTAAACAAAAAATATTTTTTTTGTAAAATGGACTTAGAAATTACAGCATGTTTAATACAGTTCTGATTTATAAAATAAGATATTTTAATCATACCCTACCCCTGCATATCTGTAGTAATGAGCACGCTTCACTGATCATAAACTTTTGCATGTGGGCATGCATTCATTATGTGAACGTGATTGCTCTGCTTCCAGACTCCAGAAGCTGTGGGGCCTCCATCCGCTCCGGAGCCGGAGACTCCGAACCCCTTCAACAAACTGACGGATCAGGAGCTGGAGGAGTACCGCAAGGAGGTGCAGCACAAGCAGGACGGTACGAGATGACAGTCTTAACAAGAGTAGTTTAGTCCCACATTCTCTTTTTGTAAGCCATTGATTTCTGGCCTAAGTATTGATGCTTTATTGATTCTCCCACTGGATTAAAGAAGAGAATTCAATAAACACCCCATGTCTTATACAGTACATATCCTTAGACAAATATTGATTGGATGTCACATAGCTTTACTTTTTATTTTATTTCCTTAAAATAAGGATTTGGAAAAATATATATGCTAATTGTGGAAATACAGAATGCATGTATTTAATACTTTGAAGAGTGCCATGAAAATAAATGAATTAAAGTTTAATTGAATTTCAGTATCTTTCCAGAAACTTGAGGCTTTGTGTCCCAACATCATTTCTTCTCGGATCAGCACTGATCTTTCTCCACTGTGTCCTGTCTTTCTGAGCCTGACAACCTTCCCACACACACTAAAATCCAAAACCTCCTTTACAGTTAATGCCATTGTTGGGGAACTATATGTGACCCTGGAGCACAAAAGCAGTTTTAAGTCGCTGGGGTATATTTGATGTATAAATCTCAGTTTCCAAAAATGTACCCTTGTGGCTGGTTTTGTGCTCCAGGGTCACATATACAAACTATAGTTAAGCAGTAAAAGCTACACTTCTGTTCAAAAGTTTATGGTCGGTGGGCTTTTTAAATGTTTTTGAAATCTCTTATGTAATCATTTAATGAAAAATACAGAAAAATCAGCAATGTTGTGAAATATTATTCCAGTTTAAAATAACTTTTTTCTATTTTAATACATATTCAAATGTAATTTATTCCTGTGACGCAAAGCTGAATTTTCAGCATCATTACTCCAGTCTTGCTCAAGAAACATTTGTGGTTATTATCAGTGTAAAAAATTTTAATATCAGGGTTCATTGTTCATAAAAGTTCAAACGAACGGCATTTATTAGAAAATATATAAATAACAGTAGAACTGTCAATTAATGTTTCCTTGTTGAATAAAAGTCTTCTTTAAAACAAACAAACAAACAAAAAATCTTACTGACCTCTAAACGTTTGAATGATACAGTATATGTTTTTTTTTCCCCTGGCAGCATTTTTCTAATCACATATTAAACACAAGCTTACACTTATAGAATAACAAAAAACAAAAAGGTTTATATTGATGTTGAATTTAAATGACATGCAGGGACTCTTGTGAACACTAAGTGATGACTTAAATGGAAAAATGAACTTGTTACTGGAAAAGCTACGTAGTTTTGAAATACACTAAAAACTGTAATTCATTTAGACGCGTCACTATTTTTGATACATTACTCCCCAGCACTGGTCTACTCCCTCATCTTCCTCTATTTCTGTTTCCTTTCTTCTTCTTCTTTTCCCAACCCTGATGTTGTTGTGTAAAAGGTGTGGAGGAGGTAGTGAATGACACGGGGGCCTCCCCCAGAAAGACCCCACCGTCAGGTGAGACCCTTGGCTCTATGAACACTGCAGAAACACCTGCTATGCTCCCACATGCTGATCTGTGCATCACATCATCTACTTCTGGTTGACAACCCCTGTTACTAAAGGGAACATAAAAAACAGCGATTGGGGGTTTGTTTTATAATCTGCTATCAGTAAATATAATGGCATTAAAGGAAGAGTTCACCCACAAGTAACTGTTCTGTGATTTGGAAGAATGTAGCATTGCATCACTTGCTCTGCAGTGAATGGGTGCCGTCATCAGATCTCGTTCTGACGGCACCCATTCACTGCAGAGCAAGTGATGCAATGCTACAATATCTCCAAATCTGTTCTGATGAAAAAACAAATTGATTTGCATCTTTGATGGCCTGAGGGTAAGCAAGTTCACAGGGTTTTTTGGGGGTGAACTATTCCTTTACTGGGGGATGATGTTGAGTAACATGGGATGTCTGTATTCAAATCTGTGTGCGTGTTTTCATTTCAGTTTTCATGTTTTTGTTTTTATGTGTGACATTTTCAGCTCTGTACTGTGGCCTCCATCTGTCTTCACACCTTTGTGCTTCTCTGTCTGTCTCTGTATTATAATTTGTAGGACAGTCGTTTGGTACTGAGATCTTGTCTCACTAGTGAGTATATAGAAACTAAGACATTGCGCACAACTTAAATGAGCATGTTGGCCAAATGTCATAGCGGCTGCTGAGCATCCTGACCAATGCTTAACTGCCTTCTCCTTCTCTTTTCTTTCATTATTTGCACTGTGCTATTTTCCGATTTCATTTAAATCGATTCACATACAGAAGCGGTGCAGAACGATAAAGGCGATGAAAAGAAACAGCAGGAGGAGCTAGAAAAACAAATGAAGGCACTATCCACCACTGACACGTCGGGAACCACGCCCTCGGCCCCGCCCCCGACTCCGCCCACTGCCCCGCCCAACAAACCCGCAGGCCACACCCCAGAGGGCTCGCCTTCCAAATCTCCATCCAAGAAAAAAAAGAAGTTCAAAGCTCCCTGTTTTCTAAAGAAAAGCAAGAAGCAAAAAGAGAAAGCAGAATCTTGAACTCTTACAGACAAGTGTTCGTCACACACACAAACACATCTCCACATCCAGTCAGACTCACTGTGTGTCCATTTACTGACCTTTACATGCCATACGAGTTGTGTACGCGATGCAAATTTCACAATGCTTCACTGATGCACATTGAATATGTGACCCTTCCCTTGCTTTAAAATGAATTGCACTGAGTACATGCGTAGAAAAAAGAATGTGGCACTGAGTAAGCATTGATTGTTCATGTCTATCGATTCTGATTGTTGCTCATTATCAGGTTTATAGAACTACATGTGGCATTTTTTTAAACTATCATAAACATCTCCATCTCACTGTGTTGTGAATAGCAGGGATGAACTAAATGAACATGCACTGGAAATCATGATTGCGATGGCTTGCAAATAATAAACATCAACAAGCCAAAATAAGCAAGATCATGGCTTGACGCTGCAAAGAAAATCCAACTTTAAATGCACGACTTGTTTTTCTTCTTATATTGTTATTATTTATTATCTTTTTTATGTATGTGTGCTTTGCAGTTGGGATTATTTTTATGATCATTCACGGTTATTTAAATGCTTTTGTGTGTATATTTGCTGGTTTATAAACTTGGTTCCATGTCAATATTAGAATGTAAAATGCTAGGATCGGATGTACCATTCATTAAAAACCACATCCACTTAAAGCTGGTGTAGTCTGTGTAAACGTTGCTTTCTTCGAGTACAAATCTATTGCAAGCAAGTATTTGCTGTTAAAGTATCTCAGAAACATTTAAATGGACACTGATTTGATGTGTAATTATTCATAACGATTTTATTTTTTGACATGCAGCAAGTAGGCGGAACGTAATGTTTGGTAGGGTAGGAACCATTTGTCGCGGAACGCTTGATGCCTTTGTTGTTCCGGATTGCTTTTTATGGCGCACTGTTGATGGCGACCCGACCAGCAGACGTTCAGTCTGGAAGTTTCTAGTTAACTAGCAGTTTGTGAACGTGCTGTTTAAAAGAAAAGCATCTACTTTATAGTGATACGATCATGGGTAGAAGCAGGAGCCGAACACCGCCACGACGGCTTCACCTAACAGTATACATAGCAAGGTTTTTTTGTTTGTTTGCTTGTTTTGTTGTTTAAAGGAGTGGACACGAAACACATGGGGGAAGTCGTGGCCTAATGGTTAGAGAGTCGGACTCGTAACCCAAAGGTTGTGGGTTCGAGTCTCGTACCGGCAGGGATTGTAGGTGGGGGGAGTGAATGTACAGCGCTCTCTCCCACCTTCAATACCACGACTGAGGTGCCCTTGAGCAAGGCACCGAACCCCCAACTGCTCCCCAGGCGCCGCAGCTGCCCACTGCTCCGGGTGTGTGTTCACGGTGTGTGTGTGCACTAAGGATGGGTTAAATGCAGAGCACTAATTCCTAGTATGGGTAACCATACTTGGCCACATGTCACGTCACTTTCACTTTCACATGTTGCGGGAGCAGGCAGCAATGATCAGAGATTCAGCGGGAACAGGATTAAGAAAACAGCCGAATCCCGGACATTTTGGGCAATTAAGAAATCCCGGCCAGACGCATTTTTGTAGGTCCAAAAAGAGGACTTGTCCGGGGAAAAGAGGACGTATGGTCACCCTACTATTATGCAGTGTAAGCTGTGTTTGCCTAGGGAGACCAAACTAGCAGCTTATAAAATCTCGACATCAACCCTTCGCAAGCATGTACAGGTTGTATATACTTGCATCGTTGCATTGGTGGTTAAGCCTTGACAGTTTAGCAAA